CAATCATATTTCATCTTTTTCTTTGGTTCAAATGTAACTCATATACTAAATACAAAGGTGTTTAAGTAATTTGTCATTTTATGTAACTCCCAAATAATTAATTGGGAGTTACAAATTTGAAAATATCACAATTGATCATGATGCAATATTGGCATTGGGGTTTTACACGTGTTCATGTTCTATAATTCACATTTATTTTAATCGATAGTTCTCACTTTTGACATATGAACACATCAGAAATCATACAGTCTTAGATGTCGTGATTCATAAGTGTTCATATATATTCAAGTCACTACATGTTCATATAAATACATACACACACACATAGAGAACATGTGAACACGTATGAAAACACACAGCCCTAGATGCCTTGGTTCATAGGTGTTCATGTACATACAGCAGAGTTGGCTCCTGAATATACAGAAGATGTTCATACGGTTCACATGTTGTTCATATGTCTAATCTTTTTTTGTTTGATGTGGTTTGAATATATACACAAGTTGTTCATATGTTTGACAACCTGTTTATCAAAGATAGATTATTTTTTACCTAAATACCCTTTGATATTTTGTTTACATATGTTAATTGAAAATATTAATTTAATAATTAATTTTAAATATCATTAAATCACAACCATTTATTATTCAAATTAATGGTCAAGATCGGTTAACAAAATTGACACGATAATCTTGGTTAGTATATGAACCAGCCCTTATAGAAATATATATATATATATATATATATAATATTTCATAGATATATTCTACAAATATAAAAGAATTTACATAAATGTCCTATAAGATTGTATATGTGTGTGCATTTTAATTGTTGAATAATTAAAATACACAACTTTTATAAATATATGAAAAGAACAACCAAACCTTAATGTTTTTATTGAACAAAAAGCCTTTGAGACCACCAAGTGGATACTAAAGATTGAATTCAGTGTCGATGTCCCCACGTTGCCAAACGAGTTGACGATCTACGCTTTGATTTTTCATAGTTATGGTCGACATTTTTGACCATTTTATCATAGGTAAAGAAGACCTTTCTTACTGGCGTTGAAGGATTAGGGTAGTCGAGCAAGATTGACATGTGGTAGCATTCACGAGGACGACATCTTGCCAAGTGTTTGGCTTTCTCAGGGATAATTCCGTAACAAAATAATTATTATATTAAATTGTAAATTTTCATAAAGTTCATGAAAAACGATATCTTTTCATATGAAGAAACAATCTGAATACTTGATTTTTCTGGTTGTATAAAAAAACCAGAAAATAGTAACATTTAATGTCACTTGATGTAAAGAATTTCATGTGATGATATATATATATATATATATATATATATATATCTCATAAATCACATGGTAGACTTAAAAAAAAATAATGGAAACAGTATTTTTTTTTTTTTCATGTGTTGTCTACATCATGTGGATTCATATCTATACCCATACATGCATAATTGCAGTTTTGCCTTGCACATCATAATCTCAGTGTCCCAAACATACACATAGATGTAACATTACAACATTTTCATGTCTACTTTCAAGATAACAATCTTATGACATGAGCCATTCGTAAAGTCGACAACGTCCGTAACATATAACATGCGGCTTATACAAATGTATATGTTCCGCACATCTAAAGAATTTCAACGATAAACACGTATTAACATTGCATATACTAAGAGCATATGCAGCACAGACAGCGACGTGAAACTCTAGGTCCATGGGTCGTTATATAAATTGAGCCAAACCAGACCATGCATGTGGCATGGAATCAATCCATACTCATGAACCGCTTCTTTGATAAAATATGGGCCCCATAATTAATATAACTATTTTTTTTCCTAATATCGGCAGTATGAAAATAATTAATTAATTTTTAAATACCATCTTGAACTAATCTTTTCTTCAAACGATATGGTACTTATTTAGCATACCAACTAGTAGTCGTTCCGGCTAGCTATTACTATCACTATATCACTCCCACATGCACATGATACACGTCGATAAACAAAATTAATCAGGCTTTACGCCTGGTGAGTGCAACTATTTACGTCATAAAAACGTTCAACCAAGATCAAAATGATTCATATAACTCGTTTATATTTCCAAAACAATGTATGATTTGCAAACATTAGTAATATGCAAATTGACACATAGGTTTTCACCAAAAAAGAAATAAAATATATGTGGTGATTATTTTCACAAAGAGGTAAAAAGAGTCATCGCACCATGTGGGGGAGGCTCACAGCAAAATCGAAACCAGTGATGGAACACTACCCAACAGTTCACTTATTTGTAGGTTAATTTCGGCATAATCATCATGTGCATATTTGTCTTACATACACTCAAAGTCGTCTCTGAGGGAGGGCGGGCCGGGCGTACGCCATAAAAATTAGGGGCCCAAGTTTTTTTAATATATATAATAATAGTTCAAAAAAATTAGTATCTAATATGACAAGAAAAGATTTTGGTACTATATTAACTATTAAAGACCCAAACATGTATGAATTAAATATATTGGAGAAAAAAAATACATAAAGAGGTTAATCTGTCGTTCATTA